GTAACTACGTTTGACTTGATCCCGAAAGGGTACGTAGGCAGCCTCCCTGAGGTTCAGTCACAACAGAAGAAAAATCCAAGAATCCCCAAGAAGGAAAGTGGGGCAGAAGTTATAGTTGTTGCAAGAGACATGATTCTGAAAGTTGTAATGGTGAACCCATGTTTGAGTTATTTCGAGCTCTTATACCTTTCTTTCTAAAACCCATCCAAAAGCCACACTACGGTCCAAAGAAAGACCTTCTGATCAATTTCAAGAAATGTTAATACAAGCAGGTAAAGTGACTCATATTGGGGACAACACTCTGGTGACAGAAGAGAAATAAAAATGAGAGAGTCTTATCGGTGAAAACCCGCAAGGGCACCATAAGGCGATGTGCGTTGAGAGAAATGAAAATGAGAGAGTCTTATTGGTGAAAACCCTCACGGGCACTGTAAGGCGAAGTGAGTTTGAGAGATATTAAAATGAGAGAGTCTTATTGGTGAAAACGGGCACTGTAAGGCAAAAGTGAGTTTTTCAGATGGGCAAATGAAAGAAGTCTGTGGTTGAAGGGTGTTTGAAACATGGCAAAACAAGCAATGTTTTTTTGTGAAAGTATGAAACAGCAAATGTGGTAATTGACAATTGATTGGTTGGACAGACTAGGCTGGAATCCGGAATGTATGGCACGATTAATGGAATCAGCCTTTCCGCTCAGATAAGTCCTGTCCTTTTTCCTTCATTACAACTCATTCGTTTTCAGAGTTTTTCTATCCTCCAAACCTTCGAGGTCATTGCATTTCATTCTCTTGAAGTCTGTCTATAAGATGTTTCAGTGTCAGCTCTATTCGCAAACAAAAGAAGGACGTCAAAGCTAACTACCAGCTTCCTAGTTATATGAGGTTGGGACATATCAAAAGAAAGTGAAACATGAAGGACCAGGGAAAATCAGTGGAATAATCAGATGGTTGTGAGGGAGAAGCAAAGTTCGCAAGAAAGGAACAGAAACACCAAACAGTAATACAAGGTAAAACATTTGGGTCATCAAGATCAGGGGGTGGAAAGTCAATCAGAAAGTCGTGGCAAGTCAAAGCAAGTCCAAAGAAGCAATTCAGAGCAAAGTCAGAAGCGGGAGCATGGCCAACAAGAATGCCAGCAGCTAACCACCATTTTACATTAACAAATTTTTCTTTGATTGGAACAGGGGCAGAAAATTTCCTTTGTTTTGTCTGTTTTGTTGAAATCAGGAGCCCACCTGGAGAACGAGGGAATACATTCAAGTTTTAGCAGTCAGGAACCCGCCTGGAGAACAAGGGAGTACAGTTCAAGTTTTAGCTTTCAAATTCTTACTAATATTTGCTAACATGATATGGTTTACAATCACATATGTGCCCAGCCACCAAACTGGGGCAGAAAATTTTCTTTGCTTTGTCTGTTTTGTTGAAATCAGGAGCCCACCTGGAGAACAGGGAATACATTTCAAGTCACCAGTCAGGAGCCCGCCTGGAGAACAAGGGAGCACATTTCAAAGTCAGCAGTCAGGAACCCGCCTGAAGAACAAGGGAATACATTTCAAAGTCAGTAGTCAGGAGCCCGCCTGGAGAGCAGGGAATACATTTCAAGTCAGCAGTTAGGAACCTACCTAGAGAACAAGGGAGTACAATTCAAGTTTTAGCTTTTAAGTTCTTATTGATATTTGGTAATACGGTTCGGTTAACACTCATATACAAGCCCAGCTACCAAACTGGGGCAGAAATTTTCTTTGTTTTTATCTATTTTGTTGAAATCAGGAGCCCGCTTGGAGAACAAGGGAATACATTTCAAAATTTTTCCGTCAGGAGCCTGCCTGGAGAGCAGGGAGTACATTCAAGTTTAGCAGTCAGGAGCCCACCTG